TTTTAAAAGTTTATGTATATATATATATATATATATATATATATGTATATATATATATATATATATGTATATATATGTATGTATATATATATCGTAAAAACAATGCCAACTGCTCCACCGTTTTGTACCACTAGGGAACCAAATCAACAACCAATTCTCTTTCCAAAATAACCACAACAATATTTAACACCCAAATAACACGGCCAAATAGTCATAGAAATAATAATGAACATAGAACTATTAAGACAGGAATCCATTAAATTGGAAACGGGAGAGGGATCATGTTTGACAGACCATTTGGTGGTGCATAGATACTCATCACCTCACCTATACACCACACACATGCATTTCACATAGCAAACAAGTGGGGATTCCTATTCCCTCAAGTCAAAGTTAGACCAAACACTTACCTCAAATTCGCAGACCACTCACTGCTCAATTACAGCTTTTCCTTTAGAACCTTGCTCTAGCCGGCTCGAATCTAATCATAATTAGCTTAATATCATTAATTAATGCTAAAGGAACTAACTTTACTGAAAATTATAATTTTTCCTATGTTTTCTCAAAATAAAATAAAATTAAAACCCTACTCCGAACTCGCTTGGTCCAAACTCAAGATTCGGATCAAAATCAGTTTATCCGTTTACGCCCGAACCCGAATATCAAATATGACAGATTCAATATTGGAAAACAAAGTTGTCAAACTGTAGCCTCACGTGTAACCCAGCAGCTCAAAAAAAAAAAGACTTCTCATGCCACAAAATTAACTACATTAATTCATTATACTATTTCACATTCAATAATAATTACCCAATCATTGGCCATGATTAACTCTATATCCAGTATACTTAATATTAGAGATTTGTAATTGGTAGTGCAACATAAACTAATGCCTCGTTTTTGCATTCTAACCTTTATATCAAATCTTTACAAGCTTTCAATTATTACTTCATCATTAGGAACCCAATTATTGTCTAGCTATTGAAAGGCAAAAATTCCAATTTATTTAATTAACTACACCACCGTAAGTAATGGAAAGATATATGTACCTGATTACTTGGATTGATTCTACAAAATTTTACACAGTCAATAGCTATATCAGGCCCGATAGTCGTCGCCTCTGTCACAACGCAAAACACCTATCTGCTATTCTAGGTTTTGTTTCTAGCCTAGAAGTTAGAATTAATCAGATTCACTTATTTAGTTACCACACGTGACTTGCAACCTGGCAGCAAAGGAGAATAGGCCTGGCCCATTTCTTTTGTTTAAACGACCCAATCAAGTTATTAGTTTACCAACAATTACATATAGTATAAATGTGGCCCGCTAGTAATTAACTGGTACACAATCATATATATTCTAATAATTTATTCTACTAGCTTAGTATTTGACTTAAACATTATAATAAATTTGTATTGGGATCCAAAACCAAAGTACGAACCCGATACCAACGAGTTCAAATATTAATCAGTTTTTTGTAATTCCTTTAAATTTCAATTTAACAATTTTCGTCAAAATTTATTTCTCGAGCTAGGGATCTCGAAATTTGATTCCGGACATACGCCCAAGTCCCGTATTTTACTACGGACCTCCTGGGACAGTCGGAACACGGGTTCAGATCTGTTTACTCAAAACATTGACGAAAGTCAACTAAAATCAAATTTAACTCTAAAAAATTACTATTTCATATATTTTCACATAAAAGCTTTCTGGATTAACGCCCGGACTGCGCACGCAAAATCGAGATAATTAAAATTAGTCTTTTTTTATAGTTAATAAGTCTAGAATGGAGTCTAAATTCATAAAATGACCCCTTGGGTCATCACAAGACCTCGTCTTGGGAAGCGGCCCTCGCCGGAGTAATCAAGGCCGCAGATTCAACTGAAGCAGCCCTCGACGAAGGTCGTACAGTGGATACTGCGATAGGGCGAGCAGATGCGGCCGGCTGGCGGAAAGCTAGCTGAGGAGCCATTGCTCTCCGCACCCTTCCTGGCAACGACGAACGATGCATAAAAGGCTAAACAAAAAAAAAAAGAACAGTAGATAAAAGCGTCATCTCACATGTAAGGGGCTTGCGTCCGAACCTCTCATGAAAGGTCGACCATGTGCGAATTCCCACTATATGGGGAAGAATGGCCTCCACCTATTCACGAATCCCTTCGACAGGTGGCGGGGGCAATCTCTCAGCTTCAAAGACGAGGCAATTTAATACTCGCAGACAACAGTCGAACATTTCACTAACTAAAGATGCAAGTTTACATGCGAAGTTCCATCTCTTAGGGAATCCCGTTGGGTCCGCCACAATGTGTTCGGTCCGCACATAAAAGTAGTTCTCATAGAAACGACGGTTGGTCCTATCGTCCATTTTCACCACCAGACTCCTCGACCCCCGAGGACGCATGTGAATTATCGAACCGCGGATCAGTTGGGGAGCAAATATGCTGAGCATATGGTCCAAAGTGACCTCACGACCGGCAAGTTCCGCATACTTGAGTAGCATAAGGAATAACTTTTGCAAATAAGGCGAAAGTTGGGCGGGGCACACTTCGTAGAAACGGCGAAAATCCACCACCAACATGGGAAGAGGAAGTGTGTACCCTACAATAAAGGGGTAGGAGTAGAACATGCAGTACCCGGGACGGTCGAAGTGAACTATGTCATTCCCCTCCACCGGCCACATATCGACGTAATTGGGGATTCCCCACCTTTCTTTCAACTCTACAAGCCCCATTTCCCTCATGACGGAGGGGACAGGTTCCGGTTCCGCCCCGCTACTAAAACTGAAGTCAGTCGCCTCTCTCCCTGGGCGAGGCAAGATCTCAACCACTGAGGGAATTTCCTCATCCTCCGCTGCATCCGCCCCTCCGGTGACCTGAACAGAACTCTCTGGTACCGGATTAGCGGCAGAAAGATTGTTGCGAGAAGAATCACCAGACATTTTTTAGCAGAAAACATGCCAAAGAAGTAATAAGAAGAAGAGATGAAAGATTTCAGTGGACAAGAAGGTAAGCAGAAATTCGAAGTATCAGAAAAAGCTATATCTGAAGAACTCTCTCAAGCGAAGGATGAAGTGAATCAATCAAGTGACAAGTTCCCTATATTTATAAGAGACATAAATTCCCCGAGCACGAAACCCAAGAGTCGCCATTCGAATCTAATAGGACACGAAACATTTCAGTCTCCCAGAAACATGTGTCATAATGGTGGTAACCATGAACCAACGCTTCAGTGCCAACCGACGTTTCGATTCCGAAACCGCCGCAACGTCCACGAGGATCGAGAGAACACCACCACTTCGCTAAAAACCCACAGAATGCGACTAAGGAACGGAAAGTTGTAGGCCAAATTTGTCTCGACTTCGTAACAAACATGATCCGTCTGCCGAAGTCTGACATAGGACAACCCCGATAGACGGAGGGACTAACTGTATTGGTCAAAATCTGACCACCACGACCAGGTTGTCCGACACCCCGCCTCAGTAACTGGGCAATGAAAGTCAATAGAGCCCCTCAATTTCTCCTCTGTGACATCCGACAAATCGAAAAGAGTAATACCTAAAATCATGACCAGGACACATTATTGACAAGAAAGTGTCGATTCAAACAAAGGCTAAAAGGGCCTCGACTATATATAGCCAAAGAAAGCTCTCAATTCGGGGGGCTTCTCCATTCTCTCAAAAAAGGATGACAAAAAACTCCTTTCTTATATCTTCAAGAAAAAGAGGAAATGACCTCGAAGAATATATGTAAATTTACTTCCTCATCAATTGATGAGAAAGACAATGTTGAATCTTAATAAGATCAATCATGCCTCTTTCGTCCCATATGCAATCGTTATTGTTAACTTTTCGATCCGGAATTAATTACGTTTGACTAAGATTTACCCCTTCATCTTTGATTGATTTGTTCAAAAAGGTTTTAGTATCTTTTGAGTCAAATAATTAGAATTCGAATTCTGATTTTTATATTTTTCACTAATTTTATCCACCATACAGGTACTTCTCTTTGTACAAGTCAATATATGAGAGTTACACTTAACAAGTTACATTACAAATTGACCCAATTGAAACATCACCTATGATGCATTGCAAATTAAACTTCCCTAATTTTAATCTCCTTGTAAAGGTGCTCTGGTGAAGGGAGACTTGGAGCAGCAGTAAAATTACTTTGTGTGACCTATAGGTTAGGGGTTCGAGCTGTGGAATCAGCCACCGATACTTGCATCAGGGTAGGTTGCTTATATCACACCCTTTGGGGTTGAGGCCTTTCCCCGGACCCAACATGAATGCGAGATGTTTCGTGCACCGGCCTACCTTTTTGTAAAGATACGCTATTACAGTAATTTAATATGTTATAGTATAATATTTTTTAATATTCTTTTAAGTTATTAATTTCATATTTCTACTTGATACGATTAAACTTATAATTTGTTTACCCTTAAAATGAGTAACAATTAAATTTATATGCGATTAAAGGATATGTGATTTAATTTAATACGAATGAACAGTACATAATCTATACTATATTAAAAGCACGAAGACCCTTAGCGAAATATCGTTCGCCTTTTTTACCCTTTTTAAAATAGAGTTCACATTAGACAAAATAGTCATTTGATTATTTCCCTAATATTTAAAAATAGTCATTTAATTAATTCCCTATTATTTAGGAATAGTTATTTAATTACTATCCCTATAATACTTATAATTGACACACATACTAGGAAACATTTTCGTTCTCTACACAATAGGAAGTTTTCGTCCAACTCTATATTTAGGAGTATTATTAAATTTTTCTTTCTAATTTAGGAGGATCTTTTTTAGTTAATAAAAATTTGTCCAATTTACACACAATAGGAAGGTTTCAGTTTTTCTTTAGTTAATAAAATTTTAACTAATTCACATACTAGGAAACTTTTGATACTTTCAACTATATTTAAATTTAGGAGTATTAAAATTTCACACTTGAAAAGTTCTTAAATTTTGACTAATTCATGCACACACTAGGAAAGTTTTGTTATAAATTTTTGACATTGGATTTTTTATAACTATATTAGATGAAGACGAACTCTTTGAAAACTTATAAGAGTCTTTTTTTAAAATAAAATTTTTACCCAATTTTATATATGCCTGTAATTCTATAAAAAGAAGTTACAATTTCACCTTTTCATCATCATAATTTTGCCTTGTTAGAGCAACAACTACAAAATTAAGGGTTTTAGGTTTTCTTTCTTTGAACAATTTTTTTACTAGCAGTTGAATTTTGCATTCATGTATTTGTATTAGTAGTTGAATTTTGCATGCACGTATTTAACCAATACATCTTATTTTGCTGATCTGGATTGTAAAGCTTGGTTGAATAGAATCCTTTTTGTATTAGGCTGTATGCTTTAACCTTTAGTCAAGTTATTTCTTTTACTATTTTTTCGTGCTCTTATTGGACCTTTTTTCTCCGTTTTTAGTTGCTTTTAATAGTTCTTATATTGGACAAAACTGTATTAAATTATTTTTCTTAAAATTTTAAGATTTTGCAATTAACTAAAATTTTAGTTATAATTTTTTTATTTGAACTACGTAGGAAGTCCTAATATTTAATACTCTAAAATCAATTAAGATTTTACCTTATGAAATTTTTAAAAATAATTTATTCATTGGAACTAAAAAGCACGAAGGCCCTAAACGAAATGTTGTTTGTCTTTTTACCTCTAAATATAAAGTTCACACTAGATAAAACAGTCATTTAATTATTTCTCTAATAATTAAAAATATTTTGTTTAATAGATTTCCTAATATTTAGGAATACTTATTTAATTATTCTCCTACTATTTAAGACTTTAATTTTTCTATTCATTTTAGATCTACAAGTCGTGCCTTTTCAAATCCATGTAGATTTAGTAGTATTAAATTTTATGAACTTTCAATTACCACTAGGAAAATTTCTGAAACTTTGTACCACTTATATGTTTAAGATGATCTTTTAATAAAATTGCCGTCACTTTCAAATTCCATTTAATTTTAGACTTATGATGGTTTTTTACTTTCTACCTCCACTTAAATTTGGCAGTATTAAATTTTAAACACGATTTATCCCAGGAAAGTGACCACTTTGTAACTCCTTTTAGTTTTATGAGGCTTTTTAAATAAAATTTTGACTCAATTA